CGGCCAGGGCAGCACCCTTCCAGGGCCCTACAAGCCAATCGACCTGATCCAGCTCTACGAGAAAGGCACAGTCATCACGCCCATTTCACAGATGGAGACACCGAGGTAGAGGACCCCCTGGCTGGCAAAGGCAGTCCAGCTCCTGAGGCCTCTCCATGGAGAGGACCAGGCTGCCGGCCCAAGCGCCGGACATGGCCTCACTAGAAAGTGGCCAGGGCGGAATTAGAACCGGGAGCCTTCTGCCTCCAAAGGCCATTGTTGACTACCAATGAGCAGATGAGGGACACTGCTGCCCGCGGTTACAATCCTCCCATAGCTACAGAGGAGGCCACAGAGGAGGCCCCTGGTGATGAGGCCCCACCCCCAGCCATGCTGGCCCAACGCTGCTTTTAGAGCACATGAGGCCTTTTGCTTGGGCCCTGCTGGCTTCCTGCGCCTCCTTCAGGCCTCCCTCGAATGTCACGGGAAGCCTCGTTGAGAGGACACAGTAGAGCAAAAACTTGAAAGAACTAAGGAAGCAAATGACAGGGATATGGAGGATGAGCATCCCAGGCAAGGACACAGTGGGGCAGCACCAGGCCTGGCGAGCTGGAGGAACCGCGAGGAGGCCCGTGTGTCTGGAGCAGAGTGAGCGAGGGGGAGAGAGGGAGGAGGGGAGGGCAGGGAGGGGATGGGGCAGGTCGTGCAGGGCCTTGTGGGCCACAGGGAGGAATTGGGCAGACCCCTTTTCACCACTCACCCCATTCCTGCATTTAATCCTACACATCTCAGGACTCTTATTCATTTTCTGGGAGCTGTATACTGATTGTATCTTTCCCATTTTCAAATTATTTACCAGTCTTTTTCTTATTGATCTGTGGGAGCTCTTTATATATTATGGAAGATTTTTTTTTTCAATCCATGATACAAGTAAGTTTAAGTAGCTTTTCCCCATCTTCCCTTAAGATGATTATCAATGCCAGGCAGGTGTTTTTGTTTTCATGTGGTCCCATTTATCAGCCTCTCTCTCTCTTTTTTTTTTGTTTTTTGTGGTACACGGGCCTCTCACTGTTATGGCCTCTCCTGCTGTGAAGCACAGGCTCCGGACGCGCAGGCCCAGCGGCCATGGCTCACAGGCCCAGCCGCTCCACAGCATGTGGGATCCTCCCAGACCGGGGCACGAACCCGTGTCCCCTGCATTGGAAAGCGGACTCTCAACCACTGTGCCACCAGGAAGCCCTCTTTTATTTTTTTTGATAGTATCTTCTATTTATTTATTTATTTTATTTATTTTTGGCTGTGTTGGGTCTTCATTGCTATGTGCGGGCTTTCTCTAGTTGTAGCAAACGGGGGCTACTCTTCATTGTGGTGCGCAGGTCCCAGGGAGGTGGGACCCTGGAGGGCTGTGGGCAGAGGAGGGGTGGGGCCTGAGTCAGCTTTTAGTGGGAGCCTTCTGGAGTGAGCAGGAGGGAGCACAGGAAGAGACAGGGGGCCAGGCCAGCCACGGATGATGGGACTGAATTCACATGGATGAACCAGGTGGTGGCAGAGGAGTGGGGGGCAAATGGGTGGATTTTCGGTCCACTTTGAAGACAAAGCCGACATAATTTGCCACCAGGTTAGACGTGGGAGGAGCCAGGGGTCAGCGGGGAACGCAGCTGACTATTCTGAGACATCACAGAAGCAGGAAGGACAGGAGGGAAACTGCTCAGAGACACCAGGCCACAGCTCAGGCCAAAGCCCACAGGCAGCTCGTGGACACCCACAGGGGCCCCGTGAATGTGCCCAAGAGCCCAGCCTTCCTGAGATCCTCCACAGAACCAGGCACTCCACAGAGTCCCCAAAAGCCAGTAGAGAACACCATGGGGCCTTCCCTGGTCCGGGCCTCGGGAGCCCGGGAGTTTAAAGTAACCGGATTCTAAAACACCACCGATACCTTTCACCTCCCATCAGATTGGCCAAAATGACCGAGGCCGATAACATCCGGAGCTGGCAATGCTGCGAGGAGATAGTCTCTCTTGGCTCCTGCCGGACCTTTCCAGAAAGCCAGCGGGCATCAATCTGGTTGCGCCTGACCCAGCCGTTCCAAGGCAGGGACTCCAACCACTAGAACTGAAAGTACCACGACTACAGGCCCACGTTCAAAGATGTTTACTGCAGCATCACTTGTGACAGCAAAAGGCGGCTCCAGAAACCACTGGATCGTCCCTCAGCAGGAAGAC